AAATCCCCGGAACCCTGACAAAGAGCTGGATGTGGTCTCATGCATGAGTTTGTAAACCTAGCAATGAGGTAGAGGAGGACAGACAGGGGGAGCACAGGAACATCCTGGTTGCCATTCAAGACCCGAGTTATCTGAGAGACCCCATTTCTCCTAGGGCAGAGAGTACAGGGCACGTGCCTTATATAGATACATCAAACACATACCCACATACATGTGCAGGCACACAAAGTAAACTTTCCCCCCCCCAAGACAGGGTCTCTCTGTAGCTTTGGAGCCTGTCCTGGAACTCACTCTTGTAGACCAGGCTGGCCTCAAACTCACAGAGATCCACCTGCTTCTGCCTCCTGAGTGCTGGGATTAAAGGCGTGCGCCACCACCGCCCAGCCAGAAAGCCACATTCAAAGGTCTGGACCTCAGAGGTAGGAAAGGCAGAGTTACACGGTAGGAGAAGAGGGTCGTGGGCTCAGGCTCTCAAGGAACACTTGTCCTGAAATAGTTAATCTCTTAATTGGAAGGATATCACGTTTCTGTTTTAATCCAAGGTGTATTTGTAAGAAGATTTGAAAGTATAGGCAAGCAGGTTTTAGCTTAAAGAACATTTTTGTTTTGTTTTGTTTTAATTTGGCCTTGGAGGTAATGAGCTGTCATAAGAGACAGTGGGTTATCCTAGACCAGAGGTATTTATTTAAACAGAATATGGTGCCCTTGGGGGACCTATGGACCAAGTGCTTGGCAGGAAGTGACTCCTCTGAGGTTGCCTCGCCTGAATGTCACTCTCTTGCTTTCAAAAGGTGCATCAAAAGGGGCCAATATCTGCAGATACTATCTGAGTTTTGTGTAAAGAGAAAACTGCATTTGGGAATTTCCCCTCCCTACTTAACATTTTTTACTCTTTAAGTAAATGAAGAAAAACATTGTTGATAGTGAAACCAAGTGAACCCCAACAGGTGGTTTGACTACATGGCTACTGGAGTGTGTACACCAGCAAGTTAGGACCGGAGAGATGGCTCAGCGGGTAGGAGCCCTTGCTGCACTTGCAGAAGAATCAAGTTTGGTTCCTAGTACCCACATCAGGAGGCTCACGACAGCCTGTAATCCCAGCACAGGGGATCTGATGTCCTCTTCTGGCCTCTGGTGGTAACTGCACTCCCATGCATATACCCCTGCACATGCACGGACATAACACATAATGAAGATAAAAGATCAGGATGTTCAATACCGAGTACCTTGGGATTGGAATTTTACTCTGGGTTTCCTTGAACACTAAAGCTACAAGAGAATGCACATCAGTCTGGCAAACTGCAAATGTCATTTCTTTCTCAAAACTGCAGGCAAGCAGTTGACTTGTGGGGTTAAATGTGGACTTGCTAGCAAGCAGGTGGACCTGTCATTCTGTAGACAACATGGGAAGTCAGCAGTAGTTGGCCATGCAAGGTTGCTGCGGGGTGAATTCAGAGCAACAAGATAAACTCAAAGCAGGAGAGGAAACCAGGTGGAGACTCGCTGGGGTAGCGCTTCGGGGTGGGGAGGAACTGTTTCTAAAATGAGGATTTAACAAATTATGATCTCCGCTCCAGTGCTTGTTCACATGAAAAAAACTAAAGCTTCAATTTAACTGCAGGTTACGGGCGTTTCATCCTGTCGGAGCCAACCGTCTCCTTTCCAGCGGGGGTGGAAATGGGGAGGAGCTAAGCCAAAGATCTGGAAGCAGGTTAGCTATACTCTGTAGCCATCCGTGACCCAATTCTCTTTTTGGATAGTCCTCGTATCTACTATATATTTTCCATTTGGCCTTTACATTATCGTGCCGAAATGAGATAGCGTTTTGCTTCTCCCTAATTCCTGCTTTAAAGACTGTAACTGCTTGTCAGTGGTAGCATAGGCCTTTAATCCCAGAACTTGGGAATCAGAGGGAGATGGATCTCTGAGTTAGTTCAAGGTCAGCCTGGTCTACGAACAGCCAGGGCCTGTCTCAAAATACAAAATAATTATGTACAGCTATGTATCACTTAGTAAAAGAGACATTTAAAAAAAAATCTATTGTTGGATTTTTTTCACCAAGCAGACATCATGAAGTGTCTCGTAGCTGATATGCACCCTGCTACAGATGACTACCGGGCTACAACCTGTCAAGTCTATGAATGGGGAGACAGCTCCGCATCGCTGCCTCGAAGCCTGGGTTCTCTTATCTTTCAAGAGACTTGACATCTTTGGCTTGGGCATGGCAAATAATTTCTGGAGTAGACAGTATGAAGCCGAGTAGGGCTTATTACAGTTATCTTTAAAAAGGGTTTGAGGGTTTCGCCTGCATGTATGGATGCGTACCACCTGCATGCCTGGCACCCTCAGAGGTCAGAAGGTGGCTTTTGATCCTCTGTGAGCTGCCATGTGGATGCTGGGACTCAAATCCAGATCTTCTAGAATAACTAATGCTCTTATCTTAGTCACTGAACCAGCTGTCTTCGAGGTATCTTAGTTTAGATTTCCTAAGCTGCAGTCAGAGAGGTGTTCAGAAAGAAAATCCCGAGAGCACGTGTGTGGGCTTCTCAGGGTCACATGTCATCCTTTTTACAATAGTCATATAGAGAATTTGGGGTTTTGAAGCTATTATCTTCAAAGGGTTGTGAAGGAACCCAAATGAGATCACAGGGTGGTTCCCAAGGGGCACTGACAGGATTACAAACTGTCGAGGGAGAGGCAGGAAATCATTACTGTAACAAAGTTGGTGTTAAAATTCCTAGAAAATGCCTGGGTAAAGAAGTGGGGCCCTACAAGGCTTCATTGCTCTACATCCACATCCGAAAGGCATGTTATCTCTGTTAGTGGCCTTCACGGCAAATGTCAATTGTGTTCAAGCTCTTGTTTAGTCTTCAAGAGGCTTCAACCAGAATCCTTGGTGAGCACCCCCTTTCTGCTTCCATGACCTCATGATTTTTCTTTTGTCCTGCCTCTTAATTCAGTACCAAGTATCACCATATTCAACAATATAGGCCACCATAATCCAACAGGAAGCATTTGTGCCTAAACACCTGAGAGTATGGTGGAAATTCTAACAGGCATTTCTAGCTCCTGTGTCAGTGGTGGGACCAGTCTGACACCAAGCCTTTGGCTGACAGGAATGCCTTTATGCCCAACCTAGCTGTTCCGGTCAGTTCAGTTGTCTAGAGGAAGGCCTGTAGCTTGTCTAGGCAAGCTGCAGAAAATATGAATTTCCCACTTTCTTAGAACCTAATAAAAACCCTTAAATTTAGCACTCATAAAACAAGTACAGATCATGTAAGGGTAGAGAGGCTAAAGGTATTTCTGTATCTTATAGAGTTGATTTAGGCTCCTTGTCCAAGGCCTATGGGGTGCAGGACATCAAAGGCCTGTCATAGTCTGTGTTCTCAAATACTGGTATCTACCTGCACTAGCCTAACAGAAACCTCAGTTCAATCCTTCCCCACTGAGGTTCACTTTCTGGCCAGTAACAGCAGCCTCGGTCCGGAACTCCTTACCCAGTGCTGCCCTCAGTGCAGGCGGAGATGTCTCCAGGCTCTTGGCACCGTAAGAACCTAAGACTGCATGGTTTCCGCTCCATCTCACGCACCAGAGGATTCTATCTATAGCTATCCAATTGGTCTGGAATGAGACATTCTGAATTCTTGCTCTACCAGCTCAACACCCAAAGTAGACCAGTTGGTAACAAAGTTCTTTGATTCACAAGGAACTGTGCGAAAGTTCTACGGAGAACCATGGAAACATTGACCAAAGGATGCCCTCACACATTGGTCTTCCTCTCAGGAAGCTGAATGGCGCAGACTCGGACACTAGGATGCTGTGTGCTCAACTGCAGTGAGTTACTGTAACTGAGGAGTGCAGGGGGAGTGTCCCCACATGAGCACAGGCTATATGCATTACTTAGCCACACGTCTTACATGCTATTCAGACACCCTAGATTTCTTCAGTCGGATTAACACTGAGACTCATGAGACTTATGTATGACATTCTATGATGCTCATGTATCACAGGGGTCAAATTACATGCCTGTCTTTTATCTTCTATAGTGCAATAAAAACACTGAAACCTTTATCTTCATATCTTTATTGTGTTTGGACCTTTAAGAAACATATACCATAATATATACCACTATTCAGTAAAAATCTATTCTAGGTTTTAGGAAGCACACACCACAAACTATCTTGTTTCTGGTCTCTAAGACTACCAAGGATTTATCAAAAAGGTAGGCTCTGATCTATGGAATCTCAAGCCTTGAGGTTTTCATCACTGTAAAATATGTTCAAGTGGATAAACTTTATTACTGTTTTTCTTCTGGAACAGGCTAAGTTTTAAGTTTGTAGTCCATTATAAGAATATCCCATTCCTTAAGCTCTGTTGACTATCATGTCTTTGGAAAACCAACCTGGTTTTAAAAAAGTATTTCTTTTCCCCTGTACAGTGAGGATGAATTTCCCAGAACACATCCCATATTAACCAGAATGAAAACACTACAGATAAAGTACACGTGCTGTGCTCACTCTAACAACTATTCACACCGTAACTACTCTACCACGGAAACAATCGCACCAGTCCACCCTGGAAGAGAACTCCTGGATCTGACATTAGAAATACAAAGGGTAACAAGTTAACAAACGTACTCACATGACGTTTTCAAGAGGGTCCTCTGTACAAGAACACAGGACAGGGGCTCGGAAAGCTGTGGACAGGGCTGGGAAGGGTTAAAGCTCTGGCTTTGCTGAGCACCCCCGTGAGATGAAGGAAGGCATTTGTAAGAGTAGATTCTGCAGCATCGAAGGTAATTCTCGAAAAGAGCTGGGTGTTCTCAATTAATCTCAGTTCTGAGGCTTCAGAAGTGGAGAGCTACCAACAGCATCCAAAGGAAAGCCATTTCCGAGATGCTGAGAAAGGTGCGAGCCTGACATCAGGCTGTGATGTTGATGGTTGAAAAGACTTTGGTGGTATCAATGGAAAAGGAAATAATTAATACACAGACCACATAACACCATTAAAACCAAAAAAACATTTTTTTTTTTCCATTTAAAAAAGTTTTAGGACACATAAAACAAGGCAACATTTATTCCTTCTTCTCGTCTTCGGGCATGGGGTCTGTGGGTGGCTCCTCTACCGTTGCACTGTTGCTCTCTGAGCCAGTATTGCTATCACTGGTCCCTTCGACCTCCATGCTGTCAACCCCCTCCTGCCCACTCTCCTTGTCCTCAGGAGTAGATGTGCCTTCTTCACCATTCTGCTGGCTCTCTGTTGTTTCTTCCAGGTGTGTCTCCTCTGTAAGACACATTTGCAACTGTCAGTTCCAAGACAAACATTGACTCTTAACTATGCTGATGGCATAAGACGTTCTGTCCAATATGACAGCTACTAGCCAAACACAGAGAAGCCCCTGAAATGGACCAGTATGACCCAAGAATTTTTAAGCATATTTGAGACAACTTAGAATACAAAAATCTACATTTTTAACCTATAGGTTTATGACATTTAAATATAAGCCAAACACTTGTGAGAACTGAGCTTTTCAAAGTATGAAGTGTACAAAACACACACTGGATTTTGAAGACTTGCTATGACAAAAGAATATAAGAAAGACAGTTATGGTCGTGTGTGTGCAGGTGCACACACCATGTGTAGGTTAGAAGAGTGTTGTGTTCCTCAAGAACTGTTTACCCTTTGAAGACAAGATCTCTCACTGGCCCTGAAGTCACCGAGTAGGCTAGGCTGGTTGGAGATGAGCCCTAGGAATCTGCCTGCCTCAGTCTCCACTCCTGCTGTTTACACACAGGCTCCAGTCCCACCCACTGCGCGCTCTAGCCTAGAATGTTAATAATTTAAAGATGTTGATAACATTTCAGTATTCTGAATTTACTGGGTTACATGTAACATTAAAACTAAGCCAGAGACATGGGCACCTGGTGTTTCAGCTGCTCAGAGGGCTAAGGTTAAGACTGCTTGTGCCCAGGGCTCGAGGCCATCCTGGGCAATATAGTATAGCAAGATCCTGCCTGAAACACACAAAATGAGAGCACAGAGTGAAGATGCCACGCTCGCTGTCAAATGCCAGTCCTGCTGGGTCATTTCCTTTAGGAAGTTAAGACCATAAGGTTTTTGACAACTCATTTTTCCCCCCTTCAGTTCCCCCCTCCCTTTTCTTTTCCTTAAGTTAGAAGACAAAAGTAAACACCCTGTGCTGTCTGAGTAAGAGAGATCACATTCACGGGGAAACCACTCAGGACTAAGCACAGTTGCAAGCAGAATCTGATTCTCAAGCACCCGCTATAACCACAACAATGTGTTCCAGGCTCAAATTCATGGTAAAAAAGAGGTTCACAAGAATAGAAAGAGGCCCAGAAAATGAAGATTAAACCCAGACTTGTCAGAAAAGATAATCTGCTGAGTTACACACTGCATAACCGCCTGGCAGAGGTGCTGCTGTTCATTAAACCCTGAACAGGCAGTTGCTGTTTGAGTATAAAGTATGCCACGACCTTCTATTATTTCCTGTGAACTCTACTGGCATCCCCCGACTACTTCTGGCTTACTCCTGTTCACCCACAAGGCAGGACAAATGCTGCCAGAAGTTAAGCTGCTCTCAAAATTCCAAGAATAACTAAATTTATTAGTATATTTTATCTAAACTTTACCTTAAAAAAAAAAAAACCCAAAATGCTTTTATTTAGGGAAATTAGAACATCAAAAAGCAAACTGCTCTATGGTGAGGTCAGTTATCCATAGGCCTAGATAACTGTCATTTTAGGCTTTGTGGGCCATGAAGTCTTTGTTACAAGTTCTGAAAACTCACCCCCCCCCCCGCCCCCCACGTTATCACCTCAAAGCAGCTACAGATGAGTGTGGCCATCTTCCAGTGAAACTTTACTTACAGAAAGATGGAGGCAAGATCTGGCTTACAGCTTTTACTTTGCTCAAAGCCTAGGTACCAAAGACCAAACGAATCTTCGGGACAATGGTAAAAGTTAAAATATTATTACTGCCTATTAACCCTATGTCAAATCCAGTACCAGAATGCACCCAGAGGCAGGTACTTTTCAATGAAGAAACGAGCTCAGTAAAGTCACAGTGCCAGCAATGGGGAAATGGACAGGATCCCTTTCCATCTGTCTCCAGAGCCACATGCACCCACCTGGGTTCCACTATGAAGAGACTGGAAAGTCACAGGGATTAACTAACGGGAGTGGCCGCTGCAAAGCATCCAGAGGGAAAGGTCAGAAGGTAGCTATCAGGGCCCTCACATGTTCCTGCCAAGGAGCTGGTTACCTGTCTCCATAGGGATGCTCTCTTCATCCTTCTTCTCCTCGGCTTTGTTTGTTGCTTGCTCTTCCTCAGGGGCAATGGTGCCCTGACTGCGCTCGGCTTGCTCCGCTGCTTCCTTCTCCCGCTCCTCCTGCCTTTTGCGGGCCTGCTCCTCTGCCTGTGCAATTTCGGCTGCGATTTTCTCCATGTCTACTTCCACCTTCAGACCACACAACTAGTCAAACACAAATCAGACAACTCTTAGCAATGTGGTCTTCTTCGGACCTTGGGATCAGGTAAGTTATTTCTTGGCTTAATAATGGTATTTACCGCCGGGTGGTGGCGCACGCCTTTAATCCCAGCACTCGGGAGGCAGAGGCAGAGGCAGGCAGATCAATGTGAGTTCGAGACCAGCCTGGTCTACAAGAGCTAGTTTCAGGACAGGCTCCAAAACCACAGAGAAACCCTGTCTCGAAAAACAAAAACAAAAACAAATGGTATTTACATGGGCGAGTAAAATGTATCAGTGTTTTATCCTCAAACTGCACAGGACAAAAAAGCTGCTGTAGCAGCAAACCAGACATGGCAGGGCAGGGGTTGCTGGGGCACTGCCCAGGACTGGGCTAGCCTTAGGATGCCCACTCACACGTCAGCTACCGAATACTCCATTCATTCAATCTATCTATCTATCTATCTATCTATCTATCTATCTATCTATCTATCTATCTATCATCTATCTATCTGAGACAGGGTCTATGTAGTCCTAGACTTCACTATGTAGACTAGGCTGGCCTTGAACTCACTGAGACTCTCTAACTTCTACCCGGGATCAAAGGTGTGTGCCACCACGCCCAGTTGAGATTTACTTGTTTTAATACAAAGTGCAACTGAACTACATCTAATGAATATACCCAAGAATAAATTATAATAAAGTGAAAATAATTCACAACTACAAAGATTTTAAACAAAAGCACTAAAGGGATCTATCAGCTGTGGGCCTACTACTTCAATGTATACATGACACTGCAAATTTATTGTAATTTTTCTAAAAAACGGGAATAATTTTATAAAGACAGTACGAGTTATACTGTGATGTTAGAACTGTTTCAAACATCACTTTAAGAAAAAAACCAAAGCAACAGGCACATGATAAAGGCAGTCACGGAATGGAATGGATACCCTTTTAAGTTCATTGTTAAAGGAATCCGTGCTTTCCAGGAATTTCCTCTTCTTTTCCTGGTGTCGCTCCTCTATCTGAAGAAGTTCGGCTTCCAGTTTTCGCTGCAAGGTATCAGATCAGATTATGTAGTTATACCTTCTCTCTAGAGCAGATGTAAAGCACACCAAGTGTGTCATTTTAAAAAGCTTATACTTTAATTTCGCATTTTTAATTATGTGATGTGTATGTGGGTATGTGCACAGGTGGAGGAGCCCAGGGAGGTCAAAAGAGGGTGTTGGGTGCCCAGGAGCTGGAGTTACAGACAGTTGTGAGTAACCTCAGATGGGTTCTGGGAACTGAACTCAGGTTCTCTGGAAGAGCTATATATGTTCTTAACCACTGAGCCATCTCTCCAGCCCACTAATTTTGCATTAAAAAAAAATTAGGTATAAAATCTAGCTATTTTATAGCTAGTTATATTTTTAAAAAAATGTAACATAGGGAAGGAAAGACTACCATTAACAAGATGATAAAGGGAAAATCATTTCATAGTAATGCAGCAAAGGCTGATGGGGTGCCCCAAATCCTTCAGTGTGCACCTATCTTTTCACAGGTCTACTTAGAATACACTGTCTCAGAGCCACATCATCTGGGACGTGAGGCAGAGACTCCTCTTATTAGAATGAATGCTTTCTGCCCTTACCTGATGAACCATTAAAGACTGGACCTGTCGCTTGAGGACCTGCATTCTGGCTGTTGTGACAACCGACCGCACATCAGGGACCACGCTCTCACTGAGGATCTCACTGATGAGGCGGTGGTTTCTCTGGAAACGGGCGGTAGCTGTATGCTTCATTGAAAAGCCGTCATCATAATCTAGAAGGAAAGAAATGTTCTGGGAATCAGCTGGCTAGTCACCAGCACAGTGGTAACAAGAGTCACCAAGTAAGCGCTGTCCTCAACTGTCCTAGCAAGTGGGCTTGCCCAGCATTAGGGGAGTCAGGGCAGGCCACAGTAAGAACCACATAGAGACAGGAAAAAAACAAAAACAAAAACAAAAACAAAAACAAAACAGCTGAATGTTTCCATAAAGCTAGTAGGCAGGTGTTCTCAACCCCAGGGTGGGGTACCAAATGACCCTTCCATAGAGGTCATATATCAGATATTTACATTATAATTCATAACAGTAGCAAAATTAGTTATGAAGTAGCAACAAAAATAATAATATGGTTGGAGGTCACTACAATATGAGGAACTGTATTAATAAAGGGTCACAGCATTAGGAAGATTGAGAACGACTGTACTAAGGGATAATTCATATCTGAGGTTTGGTTAAAATACAAACAACGTATGTTCACATCTCTTTAGGCCCTGGGATCCATGTGAAGCCTGCATGTGATGGCAGTACTTGAAATTCTGCCACTGTTCCACTCTCCCAGTAGCATTTGATAAATGCTGGACTGTAAATAGGAGGTATCTTTATCATAGTTGTTAATATTAATAAAAATATCCATTTGTAAAATTAACTTATCACCATCCTCTCTAGCAGTATTTAGTTTTCCAGGCAGTACGTATAGTTTATTACATTAAAAAAATGGTCAAGTCCCAAACTAATCTCACAGAGAAAAACAACTTGATTTCAAGGCTGGGAGACTGCTCACATGAGGATCTGTGAGGCAAGCACGAGGATCTAAATTTGAAAGCAGCCAGTATCAAGTAAAAGCCCGGTGTGGCAGATTCAGGAGGCTTGGCAGTCATTCGAGCTAAAATAGCAAGCTCTAGGTTCAGAGAGGTACTCTACCAAAGAATAAAGCAGAGAAGAAACTGAGGAAGGATTCTGGATGTCACCCCCGACCTCCACATGCCTGCACAGGGAAGTACAAGGGCATATACTACACCCAACCACATGACGAAAAGGTGGAGACGGAGGAAGACACTCAACACTGACACACACAAGAACATCCACTACACACTCCGAAATACTTGATTATAATTTATTTTTAATTTTTGCCAGTTTAAACATGTACATGGCTGTTATGAACATATAAAGGTGCTACCCAAATTTAGGTACATACAGCACACAACTGTGTTATTTTTGGTATGTGTGATGCATGTACGTGGGTCTGCAGTGTGCACACATGCATGTGGAGGCCAGATTATGACAGGTGTCTTCTCTTTCTGCCTTATAGACAAGGTCTCTCACTGAACCGGAAGCTCACCATTTTGACTAGACTAACAGCCCACCACGGTCCCAGAATCTGCCTGTTCCAGCTCCCCAATGCTGGAGATACGGGTAAGTGCCAGCTGTCCTATGCTTGGCCTTTTATATGTGTGCTGGAGATTTGAACTTAAAGTCCGTGTGCTTGCACAGCGAAAGCCCTCAAGCCCCAGGATGTGTGATCTTTCTGAGACAAAAATCTACCGTGTACCCCAGGCTGGCTTTGAACCCGTATCAGCCTGCCTGCCTTAGTTTCTCAAGTCTGGGATGACAAGTGTGCCCTACCACACCTAGCAGGTGTGCTTATTTCTGGAACACAAGTATCTCCTTTATCTTGCTTTATCACCTTCACCTGGGAGTCATCTGTACTAATATCTACTTTTCTTTACACTAACTCATTAAACAAAGCAAGTTTTCCTTCCAATATAGATAAAAATAAAGGTTGTCTCCGAAACAGCCACATCCTTAGTGTACAGGGGCTGTGCTTAGGAAACCCTGCTATTCATGGAAGCCCGCATGCTACACATGATGGTCTCTGAAGTCATTTAAAAAGCCTTTGCTATCTTGCGTGAATCAAGGTCTGACTTGTGGACTTTCTCAGAGTTTTCTAAGGAGTCTGCAGATGTCACCCTCATATCTTGACGTATGGCTCCCATCTCTTGGTTTTCCCGTATATTTCTACCTCTCAAGTTCTAGAGCAGTGGTTTTCAACCTGTGGGTCTTGATCTGCTGGAGCAATCAAATGACCCTTTCATGGGGTCGCATATCAGTTATCTTCAATTTCAATATTGACATCATGATTCATAACTGTACTAAATTACAGTTATGAAGTAACAATGAAATAATTTTATGGTTGGGGGGGTCACCACATGAACTGTATTAAAAGGTGACCACATTACAAAGTTGAGAAATACTGTCATAGAGGGTCACATTATATTAATATAGCTTCTTAATTATTTCCCATGCTACTGCTCATGTAAGAGTCTCTCAAGCTTTGTTCCTGCTGTTATATTTTGCTTAGGAAATATTTTATTCTCTACATATGGCTTCTAAGATGCGAACCTTTGTTTCTACTGTTTAGACACATTCACTCTCGCAGTTGTTGCAAACTTGCTCTGTGACTGTTTTAGTCATCTTTCTCTTGTATCAATCACCTCATCCGGGTAATCCAAGTCTGCGTATGGACTTTTAGCAGTACTAATAATGCTTAACGCTCAATTTCTGTTTCTAGTTCAAATTTTATTACATCCTACTGTATTTATGAGAATTTTTTGCCAGTAACACCCCAATGAATCCTTCTGAAGCTCCTTTCTGCTCCTTCATCCTACTTGGCTGAATTTATTCCTGTCTTTTGGTGTTGTTGTAACTTCCTCCACTCTTTAAATCTCTTAAAAGTTCTTAAGAACCCCTCTGGTGTGTTAAAAATGGAATCTTAAATTATGATCCTGGAATTTTTGTGGCTGGTAATTGCTGCTTCCAATCCTGTTTGTTCAGCATGGAGTAAGACACAGAGACAAATAAACATTTACACAGCATGCCAAGTGAGTGGATGAGCATGCTCCTAAAGGGAGGGGACTATCTTGGGAGCACCTTATAGTTACAGACTGCCTGGCTGCGGAGGCCAGGAGAGTAATCTGCTCATCTGCACTTGGAATCCTAACTAGGAAGCCTGGCCATCTGTGAGTAATGTATGTGTGTAATACATGATACCCTGTCTACATGGAATATATGACACACTCAGGAGTGATCTCAAGTGGTATTCTCAAATTCATAGTAAATTTTGAAAAAAGTTTTATAATGCTTCCACACACTCATTAATTTTTGCTTCCAAGAGCCTTTAATTCAGCAAATTTAGGTAATCAGTAAGATTGGGTATGGCAATTAAGAGCACGTGCAGCTCTTCCAGAAGGCGAGCACTCAGTTCCCAGCACCCATGCCAGGGAGCTCACAACTGCCTATAACTCCAGCTCCAGAGGGTTTGGTACCTTCTTCTGGCCTCCTCAGGCGCTGGACTCACATGTACAAACCTACAGGCTTGCTACACACATAATTAAAAAAAATAAAGACTGGGTTACTTCAAATTTTTAGAAAAGAAGTTTTTTTTTTTTTTGTTGTTGTTGTTTTGTTTTGTTTTGTTTTTCGAGACAGGGTTTCTCTGTGGTTTTGGAGCCTGTCCTGGAACTAGCTCTTGTAGACCAGGCTGGTCTCGAACTCACAGAGATCCGCCTGCCTCTGCCTCCCGAGTGCTGGGATTAAAGGCGTGCGCCACCACCGCCCGGCCTTTTAGAAAAGAAGTTATCTGGGTGTGGTAGCACACATCTTTGATCCCAGCATTCAAGGCAGAGGCAGGCAGATATCTGTGAATTCAAAGCCAACTTGGAGTACACAGTGAGCTCCAGGACAGCCAGGGCTATGTAGATATCCTGCTCTCAAAAAGCAAATCAAACCAAACAACAAAAAAAACAAAACTGCAGCAAAAAAACAAACCAAAAGAACTAACCAACTAACCCAAACAAAACAACCCCCAAAACAAACAAAAAAAACCTCCATAATATCACTTAGGGTGTGCCACAGAAGCCTAAAATCCAGGGTTTGGAGGCCGAGGCTGGAGAAACCAGTTCAATATAAATCTGTGCAACACAGTGAGATCCTATCTTCAAAAAACAAACAAATCCTATATTGAGTATAAAGACAGTGAAAAGTAACACATGCAGCTGTTTTTCTTTACTCACTTTCCACACTCTAAAATCCTATTATTGAAATTAACTTAAAATTACGCTTTCCATTTAATAGAATAAAAGCCTTGAATTAAGATTTATCTTCTATTTTAATTCAGAGAGAATGCACACATAAACCCCACTTCCCTCCTTACCATCTGGATCCTCAGCAGGCTGAATGCTCATATAAGGTTCTCCTTTCTCCATGCGAGACTGTCTCTGTCGACTTTCTTCCTCTAATGCAGCTTCGGCACGACTTTTTGCATTAATATATGCAAGGTATGCAGGGGAATTGTGATAGGCCTTCATAGACTCATTGTACTCTATCTGAAATTGAAAGGGGTGTTGGTGTTTTATAATGTACGTCCTACAGGCTACCATGTGTCTGCCTCAGCCATCTGAATGTGGGGCAGGAGGCAAAGCACGGTGTCCTGACAGTCACCTCTCTTTCTGAACAGAGAACACGAGGTTCAGACATTAGGTGAGTGGAGCTTGGTGGACACGACTTCAGTGCTGCCTCAGCTTTCTGGTCAAGCCTTATGTTTCTTTCACAAATAATAAAATGTTTTATTTATATTTAAATATTTTATTTATCCCATACCTTTTCGGCTTCGTATTCGTTTAAATATTCTTGTTTCTCTTCATCAGTGAGATCTCGCCACATGCCACCAATAATCTTGCCAATTTCCCACAACTTTAGGTCAGGGTTAGAAGCCTTTACTTGGTCCCAGACCTTAAAAGTCAACAGTTAAAAATTCAATATTAATGCCTAAGTATATAGTCATTTAAAAATACTCTACTATGGAACCCTTTAAATACAAACAAAGGCCGAGAAGACAGTATCAAACTAGCATGTACCAATCAGCCTGCTTCAAAACTGCCAACAGCTGGCTTATCTCATTTCATCTTTACCCTGGTGGATCTCATACACCATATCATTTTACTCAAATACTTCAAATTGATAATTTAAGAACACCATTAATCACAGTACATGCTTACAGCAAATTAAGCAAACAATTTAAATATGTCTCTAACAGTTCAAGCAAATCTAGAAGAATTAATTTGTATAATACAATGGCGTCATACTATCAAACACAGAAATAATTAGGATCAAAATAATACTTTTACTATACTTACAAATTAATTCATTTTGTGCCCTTGTGCCCTTGGAATTGATCCTAAGGGCTCTGATGGCACATGTTTTACTACTGAGCTACATCTCAGACTTATTATTATTCTTAATAAAAATAAGATATTAATATATAAGTCTTACATTCTCCTTTCTTTTTTTTTCTTCAAGAAAGGGTTTCTCTGTAGCTTTGGAGTCTGTCCTGAGACTCTCTGTTGACCAGGCTGCCTTTGACCTTAACAGAAATCTGCCTGCCTCTGCCTCCACCACCACCTGGCACATTCTCCTTTCTACTTAACATTTTCCTCGTGTCTTTCAATATTCTCTAAAACGTATTACTCATGGCTACAGACTAATCTGTTTAAAAGATTTTAGCAGTTTATTTAACCATGCTCCTCTTCGATCTGAGTTCTGGAACTCTGAAACAGAACGAACCACTTAATCCTTCCCCTATTTTGTGTAAGGACGACGCCAAGCCTGTCTGCAGTGGCATGGAAGACCATCTTCTGGTCCCCGGTACACACCTTTCTGCTGTACCTCATGTAGGGCATCAGCGGCTTATCTGGTGGCTTTGGAGGCTTTGGAATCGTGATACCAGATGACGCCTGTAAAAGAGTTAAACACATTCATTCTTCAATTGCTAGGAGCTCACCAGCACCTGAAAGAAAGCCCCTTAAAAATTCTAATGCGCCTTTCTTCTACTCGTCCATGGATACAAGATTATTATTTTCGCCAAAGAAAATAGGTATCACTGTAAATTCAGAAATGTTTATATCAAAGGAAAATGACTTTAAACACATAATATTTAATGTTTTACTTAGCAGTTTATTTCCACTGTTGGACAGCCTGGCTGCAAGAATAAAGTATTATACATAATTCATACACTGAGAATGGAATTATATGCCAAACGCCCCACACTTAGGACGTTACCTTTTATTTCCTCAGTAACTATTACGCATACAGTCAACGTTGGATATCTGCAGACTCTGAGCACTTACCATACGCACACTGCCTACAGGGGATCTCGTTATATCAGGAATGTACCCCAGACAAATAACATAAAGACCACCTCCCACGTTAAAAAAAAAAATCACCAATAAGAAATAGGAGGTAACTAGAAACCTAGCAAATACATTTAAAAAGAAAATAAAATATGTCCTTTAGAAACAGATTTATTTCTCTTAAGGTTTTACATTATCTTGTAGTTTTGTTTCATGTCTCTGTAGTCTTGGGGCAGCGGTTTTCCTACAGTGGATCAAGTCACTGTCCTTTCCTCATTAGCCGGCCACAAGGAAACAAGGAAGCGCGTTAGGCGCTGACACTGGCAGACCTTGCTCATGTTACTTTTGAGGCCCATTCCACAAAATTGCTTTTGTGGAAAGGAAATGAGGACAAGGAAGGACAGGATATAGAAAAAGGAAAATTAAAAAAAATATATTTAAAGTGATTGGTCCTGTCTATGTAAGGCACAGGCAAGGAGTCATCAGATGACTTCCAGCAGATGCCCCATATATAAAGCTGCCACTCCAAGGGCATCTAGTTCTGAACTTTTCTATCTCCTCTTCATATCTCCACACTGATGAAGGGGCCAGAATAAGAAGGAAGATGGTCTATCAGACTTGGCTCTGAGTTGCGGGGGAAGGAACCCTGACACTGACTCTCAGGTCAGAATGGGGAGAGGACTGCTTGCTTCACTCTCATCACCAACACACATACCGGCAAGTCCTTGCTGCTCGGACCCACAGACAGATGTGGTCTTAACCAGCAGTGGGAGGTGAAGTGAGACATGCAGGCAGAACTGTCACAGTGGTTAGAGTAGCCAATCAGGGACGCAGGCACCACTGCAGGAGCCCTAAGAAGTCAGAGTCCTACACGGCTAACCTTTGCATGCAAAGTCTGCTTCTCAATACAGGACATGATTAGAAAACATTTCTAACCCAGTCCCAGACAAACTTTTGGAATACAAAGTGAGTGACAAATAAACCAGAATAAAGTTGTGCCCATATTTGAAGGGACCAAAATACTGTTAACAAGTAAAAATTTTAACACATTTACATTTCAAACTTTGGGTATACATTTAAACAGCTAAAAAACAAAGTTTTAAAATATTTTCTCAAATCTTTCAAAGAATCACATTTTAGAACATTAATAGATTTGCTAATTCACCTCCTTTCCAAAAAAAGGGACCCAAACAGAATTACAAATAAAAAAAACAAAACAAAACAACACAAAACAATACTTCCCCTACTCCCTAAGAATAATAAGTGAAATTCCAGTTGGCTTGGGGACCCTAAAGAAGTTTATCATCACATATCACCAATCTGCTTAACATCTCAGACTCCTTTCTAAATGTCCCAAACATTTTTCTACTCTGCACTGAGTGCGTTATTCCGTCCTTTCTTGTTAAGAGTCAACTAGGAACAGCTACTATGTGCTTGCTGTGCTGTGAATAAGAAAAACTGCAGTCGGCCCTGCTCTTTGGCTAAGTGGCCCAGGAGCACAATTTTGGAGAGCTCAACTCTGCTGTTGATGAGGACCTTTCCTTGTTGCTATCAGGAAATCCACCTGTAGCACTGAGTCTCCACCTTTCCAATTTCTTTCTTCCCATTTGCAATGAATTGGAGGTGGAAAGCAAATACTTAGGCTTGTAAAAACTGTTCCGATCTAAGAGTTAGGTCCTGGTCAATCTGTGGAGAAAGTCCATGATTTTGTGGCCGATTCATCTTGAATAGCACAAGAGAATTTTTTGTTATTTCTCAATTCTTAGCTGTTTCTCTGGCAAGGTCTTATTTAAGAATTTTCTTCTGGAGACTGGATTTCTACTAGCAAGAAGTAGGCTACTTTTAACGCTCTATTTCAATCTGTTTACAATCCTGTATATTAGAGACTGTGAACCATCACCTGAACAAACCGATCAGGCATGGGCTGCACTCAAAGCTATCCTAAATCCTCCAAAGGTACCTAATGCTTTATTATCTGAAAACAACCCACATGTTAAGACAGCTCTTGACTGCAGTTTCACAGAATCATTTCACCAAATCACTATGGCTATTTATAGAAAACAATTTACTCAACAGGAACATTGCTCACCAAGTAGTGCATCATTGGGGTCATTCTCTACAAACTCTTTTTATAAGCATCTGAGTCCCAAAACACTAAGTCAGACATACAAGAGAATGCAAGCCCTAGGTTTCCAGCAGTCTGCTCACACGTCAGTCTGGTGGTGACAGAACAAAAGGACAATAATACAAAGAAACAACTACAGAGAAGGCACACACCAAATTTCACTCCTAACCCACTCCCTACCCTGAAGGCTAGAGCTCACTCAGCATTGAATTCTTCTACTCCCTAGGAGGGAAAGGGTTGAAAACACGTGACCAGCCTAGGTCTAGAAAGGAGTAAACTCTCCCTTTTCTAATCAGGTTTCTACTGAATGACCTTACTTTGTAACAACAGAGAGGCCTCACAGCTATCCACAAATTAAGAAATGGCTGTTTATACAAACCCAAAACCAAGTTATTCTAGGATCACAGTGACTACTGGCTCATCAGCATGGCTACCAAGAGCTTAAAGTATGGAGTGATTCAGAAATCATCATTTTTACTTAATACCCATAAATAAAATTTCTGCATTAATACAAATGATCTACAACTAATTCTGCTTACTATGTGAATTCTAATGTTCTTTTTCATCTGATAACCTTGCCACTCATTACACTTGTGAAACAACACATTTAGGCCAAAGAAAAACATACACTGCTGCACACAGAAACTGTGTGCATTGCACAATGCACACATAAACATATTTTTCAGAATCCTTTTCAGATACTGTGAAATACATATGGCACATAGAACTTGATATGCTTATGAAGTACAAATTATGCAGAAACAATGAAAAATTTAGACAAACAAAACCTATCAAGCTAAGCAACGTGCTTACCAAGATAGACACACGGTTTGATAGTGACGAGTTTTCAACTATAGCTTTACTACAGGGTGAGAGGGTTTTGTTTTGTTCTTTGAGTTACATTTCTTTTTTATGAAAACAGCAAATGAAAAGCCAGATACTAAAAAGATTACAGCCATTCTGTGTTGTATATATTCTCACCATCACCACATTCTAATGGAGGTACTTGACTTTTGGATTTATTACCTTAATTTCCTTGGAGTTTAAAATAATTTAAAAATAAAAGCTTTGAAATATCCAGTTTTGATTATCTTAGTTGGATCACTTAAATGAAACACCCCAAATTTTAGGAATCATCTTTCTCACAACAGACTGGAAACAGACTTCCAGTTGTACTTATCTGACACCAAGAATTCAAGTTTTATTCTGAAATTCCTTGAGGTGATAGTAAAATCTTTTTCTGTGTTAAACTGGAAAGAAGCGAGTCTCAGATAGGTCAATTACTAAATCCAAAAGACAAATAGCTGAGTGCGGCAGTTTGGACGGGCAGGGCAGGGCTGCCCGAAGTTTCTAATCCAGATGAAGCCAGGTCTAGTCCAAGCATTCCTTTAAGAAACTACATCCTTGAGAGTACTGCCACCAATTTACCTTAGACAACAAAAGACACTCTTCATGACATAAAGTATGTTAACCAAAAGAATTCGAGATTTGTTTACATAAATAGTATGAGCATTAAGTGTTTAAGGCTTAATCCCTATTGATCACCAAACAGAATGGATTTCTTTTCTTCCAAGTATATATCCAGACTGCACTTTTTTTTTTCCAGTGTAAGACTGTACAAAACAGTTGAAAAGTCAGGTTAAATTTTTTTTAAATGGCTGTGCTTCTGATTCAAAAGGACCTAACTCTGGAGGCATTTCTGGTCAATTCCAGTTGTTTGCCGGAGGCTGTAATAGTTGATTCTCCTACCGTGACCCGGCTGTTGGTGCCCGGGTTCCCTCCCAGCCTGTAGTTGTTGTAGGCGAGATGACTGTATGGATTGTATCCCACAAACCCTGGTGTGCTGGGCATTTGCTGATGGAAACAAATGAGACAAAAACACGAATGAGAAATGAGCTCAAACGAGGAAAACACAGAAATGAAAAATGATCTGCAATATGGCATGCAAAAGCAACCTGAATTTAAACAAGCAATGATGTGTTGTAATTGTTCTTTTTGTTATTGTTGCGGAAATTAAGTTTTTTTAAATTGAGAAACCAGCCTGCAAGTATGTATGTGCATGCATGTGCATGTGAGATTGTGTATGTTTTCTTCTCTTTCCCTCTTTTCCTTGGTGGGGGTTAAGGATGCTTGTGAGACAGAGTATGTTGTGTTTTGTTTCTGAGAAAGGCATCACACTGCAGTTTCAAACATCTATAACTACTTCATGGTCAACAGTATGAGATAAGAATTTGGCATTCTGTGATGTCTGAGATGGGAAAGCTTCAAGTATGATAAACTTTAAGTCTGAAAACACTACATGCAAACGAAACATGATTTATTGGACAGTTATGTGGATGCCACCAATGCACTCATTTACTAAAAACAAAAACAAATGGATCTGCTTTCAAAGACAGCTTTAAGTAATTTTATATGTGACAAATGAGAAGAGACTCAAATCGGGAGGCCAGGAATTGTCAGTAGGAAAGAACATATGCTGGATTCAATGGATGTCACATGCATGATTTCAAACAAGGACTTGTAAGAAATGCAGAGATTTCATACTGGGGTACTATCTGATCTTTAACCCAGTCATTCTCTCATAGGCTTTCTCTTCCATCTCTTCTTTGATCCATCTTCCATAGGTGATCATGCATTTAATTTTAATGGGAACTACGTCTTTTTAGTTGCCAGACTTGAACTTCTTTTTCATCTGATTTCCTGAAGGCTCTCAGCCTTTCCAAATACAACTGCTCGCTGCAGCGACAAAATTCTTGATTTTTGTGAATTATGTGTTGATAAAATCACAAATGGGTTCTTATGTAATTGTGGCCTTGTGGTTAATACAATGACATCCAATGTTCATAAACATCAAGACAAAATGCGTTAAAAAATGTAGTAAAGAGAAACCAAAAATGTATAGTTTACTTAGTCAAACTCAATCATAGTAAGTGATAGCAATGTCATTTTTACATGCAATTAACATAGCTCTCCTTGATTATACAAGAGTACGCTTGACACATCCCCGCTAGACTTTAGTTGTCACAAAATCAATGTCATTTCCTAAAACATGCCCTTGTACATATCCTTAGTATCCAAAGACATTCATTCAAGCAGGCAGCACATGTGATACTTTTTAGAGGAGAACAAAGTGATCAATTATAGCCCATAGTTAGAAAAGACGCAAATTAAGCATATTTAAGTAGCAAAACACAGATGAAATAGTAAAGGCACAAAAGAAGTGCATGTAACACATGGAGTGGTTCATCTGGGTGGTGGCTGTGGAGGGGTGGGTGGTGGTGATGGTGGGAAAAGCAATGGAGTAAAAAAAGAGAGAGAGAGCGGCTAACTCATTCTATATTCATTCTACTAGATGTTAGAATTCCTAGCTCCTGGATTTTGTGTGAAAATGTGAAATTATGGTACGAGGGACAAAAAAGATCCCCTTCTTTGTATGAAACTCAGGAGGAGATCCAGTTTTTAAAACATCTTTATTTCAAAAATAAATAGCAAGTTTGTTCATATAAACTACTGGAGGCACTATTTATATAAAATGATACCTCCAAACATTGCATAAAGAATGAGAGTTCAATATGAATCAATAACGTGAGCAAATAGGGGATTTAAAAAAATGAAACTAGCATATGGTAATTATACCATTTCTAAAGCTGAAGGACCTAGTTACGTCTTTGAGGCTCTTCATCGCTCAACTCAATCTTTACACAGCCATGAGCATGTGATGGAGATGGTGGGAGGAATTATTCTTTAAGAAAGAAAATAATGAAGCACAAGACTTTACAGTCTACCAAAGTAACTTTACAGACTGTATCACATGAAGTGAACTTAAGAATGTATGATACGCTTTTTAAAAAATCATCTCAGGAGAAACCAACTGCTGATAAATAAATATAACTAAAACGTTCACCTACAGGTTAGTAAATCAGTCTAGTTACCTAATGGAGAAAACAAAATGACAAAGGAACTCATTAGTAATAAAAGGAGACTAGCCTGAAATTAGTTGGTAGAGGGATGGAAGGAAGAGCTAGCAGATATAAAAGAATTAATTTGGGGCTGGGCATGCTGCTAATCCCAGCATTTGGGAGGCCGAGGCAGAAGAATCACCATTTCGAAGCCAGCCTGGGCTACATAGAGACCCTGTCTCAAAACAAAACAAAAGAAATCAAAATAACCCTGACTCTGATTTTGTAGGATATGGTTATGCTAAGTGATTTTTGTTTTTTAAATGATAAGAAAGCCATTTCAGCATATCAACAAGGGCCTGTACAGCTGCTGTGAAATCTAAATTGTGGACTGGACGATTATTTTACATGCTGATCAAGCAGGGCTAGAGCTTGCTGGGAGAAAACAGTTTCCACTATCAGACACTTTGAAACAGATCAGTAGGCCAATCGGCATAATTTATGGAGAAGAACAAAATTCAGCAGCAAGTTCTGACCCACAGGTAATGAAATTCTTACTTGAGCAGCTTGAAAATAAGACTTATGATGAGTGTTGTTATCTTCAGAACTAAAAAGTTCATTTAATGTGAAAATTTTATATATACAGACAAGAAAGTTTAATTAAAAAAATTTGTGTTGCTGGGGCTCCAACCTGGGCCTTGCACATGCTAGGCGCGTGCTCTGCACTCAGCTATGTCCCTAGCCTTAGAGGGAGAGAAAAAACGTGACAACCAGCTGAAGGTTAGGGTTAAAATCAACAACAGCAAAAGGACAAATAATGCCAGAGCGAGCATCTAATCAACGCATAGACTCTTTAACAGGGAAAACAAGGAAGACGTGTTTCATTCATTTCCCGTTAGGGAAAAAACAGAGCACAGGAGGTTGGAAGCTCACAGTATGTAATTTTAGATGTTGGGTTTGGTTCAAAGTAGGATGAAAAGAATTATTTTATTTAGTAGGAAGTGCTGATTTTTAGCTGAATTTTCTATCTTGTGGCTGTGATGACTGAGTGACTGTCACTGGAAGACATCTGGGTTTTTGTATCAAGGCCAGACTTGGCTATTACATTAACAAGAAAATTAAAACTTACTGTTGCAGGAGCTGGGGTGGGAGGTGGGGCATAAGATGGTCTTTCTGTTTGAAAGAAAATAAATAACTTCTTGTAAACAACTGAGATATAATACTATGCAACAAAACTACCAATGGTCCTGTTTTGAAGAAAAAAAGATGAGAGTAGTTTGGAATTCCCATTTGCTAGGGCATTAGTCTCGTATTAACACAGATTGATAAATATAAAAATTGAAACTTACTTGACATTTTGGAAGATTAAGTTCTCAGTTCCTTAAGAATGAATCTGAGACACTAAAATAAAAAAAAAGAAAAAAAAGAAAAAAAAAGAGAATCAAAACTCAGCAAGCATAAGAGAATGTTTTCCTAAAGAATAGGGTAGTTGGATTGGTATTTCTGAGCAGAATTACGTCACTATTATTTGCTAGTAATCAAGCCTTTTGCATATTTTTAACTAGTTCTTGTAATCATTTGGTTGATCAGAATTAAATGAAGAAAGTTACTGGGAAATTTAGAGTTGTATTAGAAATGGATCTTTGAGTTTTTGCTTATGATATTGAGCCACGTCTTGTATGGAAAACATTTTGCTGATGCCATGCAAACGTTTGCTTAGACTGGTAAAAAAAAAAAAAACAATGACAATAGAATGGGATGTATTATCAGGGTGACCCCAACAAGGCCTACCAGACGCTGACCAATCCCCAACCAGCAGCTCTGTTTTTTTTTTTTTTTTTAGGGGCCATCTTTTATTGAGACAGAGCAAAAGTCTATTTCCTGGAAACGGTGTGACAGATAATTTGGTATGATAACGACCTTTACGTTCTCTTCGGTTGGTAAACAGTTTCCTAAGCGAGGGAACACATTTTCAGAGTCTACTGGAATGACTCTTATTGGTCCTGTAGAGCCCATTTCAGAAATTACTCAGGTACTTTCCTGATAAATTATCTGGGCAGAACAACTGCATCTTCTCTGTATTCTTATCTGGTTACAAAGATCAATGGCATCTTCCCTCACACGATAGGCCAATATGGCTCGGTTTTGTCTTGAAAGAGAGGAGGGATGGTCTAATTTATTATTGTATCGCTCAAACCTAGCTCAATTCTTCACGGATTTGGTCCTAGTACTACCAGCTCACAACATGGACAGATGTGAGCCCGCTCCTTACTCAACACACACCACAAACGGTAATGATGAAAATTCACTTTTAGAAAGGTGAAGAAACTATGCTTACTGGAGTCCTTTCACCCATCGCTACGTACAACACTTTTTTTTTTTCTTCTAGTCTTCATTTTAAGAAAATGCCTCACATCATCGGGGTGGAGTTCTGATGTAGGAACTCAAGTTTCTCAGCCCAGGCCTCTCTTTTCTTCCATCAACACCCAGTAGGCCTTGCTGTGGGGAGCCCCGACAGAAACTGTAACAGGGTCCCTGGTCCCTTACACTTCAAGGCTAACAACTGATTGCTCTCCCGTAACTCGTAAGAGAGGATCTAACCCTAGTGCCTGGCATGGAACTCAGTATCTGTTGAATAATTAATCACCTTTACAAGGTAGGCTTATCACACAGTCTCGCTCACTATTCACAACGACCCTACCAGACACACACGGCTGTCCCCATTTTACAAACCAAGAAACAGTCTCAGGGCCATTAAGATAGTGACTAAAGCCGTAGGCCCAGAACTGCCAGGGGTGGGT